AACGTCTCAGAACAAGAGAAGAAGGAGGCATTCTACAGAGAACTACAAACAGTAATGGACAATATCCCAAATGGCGATATCAAAATCTTTATAGGTAATATGAATGCGAAACTGGGAGAAGACAACACAGGAAGAGAACTCACCATGGGTCGTGAGGCCCTCGGTGAAATGAACGACAATGGTGAACTCTTCTCAGAATTCTGCGCCTGCAATGATCTCGTGATTGGTGTCAGCGTTTTCAGACGCAAGGAAATACAGAAGAAGACATGGTTCTCACCAGATGGCAGCACCAAGAATCAAATAGACTTCATCTCAATTTCAAGAATGTGGAGACGGAGACTACTGGACACAAGGTCAAGGAGAGGAGCAGATGTGGGTTCACACCACTATATATTAGAAGGTGGTAGACATTCAAGATGAAAATAAAAACCTCGAGGATAGCTGGGGATAGGTCACAATCCAAGTTCAACGCTCAACTACTGAAGGACACAACCACAAAGGACACCTTCACTGCAACTTTCAGAGCGAAGCAGGAAACACTACGCGACATCACTGAAGAATCATGCGTGGAAGAACACTGGAACTCTCTGAAGGTGATTTTCAACGAAACGTGTTCAACGGTTCTAGGAAGAAAGAAGAGACAAGACAAGGAATGGCTCTTAACGGACAATTGGAAATTAATAAAAGAGAGGAGAATGGTGAAAGAGAAAATGATTCAATGCAAGGACGGACAGAAGAAAGAGACGATGAGCTCAACTTACACAGCACTGGACAAAGAAGTGAAGAAGAGTGCTAAGAAGAACGAAAGACAATTCTACGACAATCCGGCCACTGAAGCTGAGAAGGCAGTAGGCAAAAGAGACCTGAGGACATTATATCAGATAGCCAAATCTCTATCCGGGAAGCGATCAACACAAGCGAAACCTATAAAAGACAGCCAAGGGAACCCAATTACCAAGGAAGAAAAACAGATTAAACAATGGGTGGATCACTTCAAACGACTTTTGAACCGACCACCACCTGCAACCCATCCGGAAATACCAACAACAGCGCGCACAAAACTGCAAGTTGATACCAATCCCCCAACGAGAGCTGAAGTCTTGAATGCAATCAAGTTTCTTAAAGCTGTAGAAGGAGCCGGACCAGATGGAATACCCCCTGAACCACTGAAAGCGGACCCAGAGACTACAGCAGACATGCTGACTCCATTATTGCGAAAGGTGTGGAAGGAGGGAAAGGTGCCTACTGACTGGAGGAAAGGTTACCTCGTGAAACTACCAAAGAAGGGCGACTTAGGACTCAGTCTGCAGGAACTGGCGAGGAATCATGCTCCTGTCGACGCCAACTAAAATCCTGAGTCGGATCATCCTGGAGAGAATAAAGAACACACCGGATGCAGGACTCCGGCCAGAACAAGCTGGATTCAGGAAAGGCAAGTCATGTTCTGACCAAATTGCAACTCTACGCATCATCATCACAGAACAAAGCATGGAAGGGCAATCAAACCTCTACCTCAAATGTATAGACTTTGAGAAGGCCTTCGGTAGCATTGACCGTGAAGTGATTTGGAAACTACTCGAGTACTACGGCGTGCAGCGCCCAAATATTCATCAATCTTATTCAACAGCTTTACTACAACGGTGGCACATGTCAAGTCATCCACAACGGAAAACTCAGCGAGGCGTTTGGAGTAAACACAGGAGTCAGACAAGGGTGCTTATTATCACCAATGATATTCCTAATTGTGGTGGACTGGATTATGCGTCAGACAGTGAGTGGGAAACTAGAAGACAGGGATGGAATACCCTGGACGGACGTGAAGAACCTAGAAGACCTGGATTTCGCGCGTGGATGATTTATGCTTGATGTCACACAAAATCGAAGACTTACAAGCGAAAATCGACCGACAAACTGGTCGAAGAAGCAGTCGGCGAAGACAGGACTCCAAGTGAACATAGGCAAGACGGAGGTGATGAAAATAACCAACCAACAACAACAATAGCAGCAACATCCAGCGTCAATCACCATCAACGGGAGGGATTTGAAAGATGTGACTTCATTCACTTATCTAGGGAGCATTGTCTCAACTACACGCAGTTGGAACATACGAGGATGTCAAATCGAGCGAGAATCGGGAAGGCGAGGAACACATTCATCAATCTGAAATAAGTCTGGAAATCTACGTCACTCAGGATCAACAACGAAATCCATTCGGATTTTCAATACAAACGTCAAGGCAGTCAGTTCTTCTATACGGATCAGTAACTTGGCGGGCGGGTCACAAAGAATATTTCCAACAGCCTGTTGCAGACATTTATCAACCACTAACTGTCTTCGCTCTATACTGAAGATCAGATGGCCGGGCCGGAAAGAATCACCAACAAGGAACAATTGGAACACACAAAGCAATAACTAATCGCCAACCAACAAATATGCAAGGAGAAAGTGGAGATGGATCGGTCACTCGCTAAGGAGACCGCTGGTTGACATCGCGCGTCAGGCCACTGCTCGAGTGGAACCAGGTCGAAAGGGAAGCGGCGAGTGGGATGTCAGTGCAAGGGTGAAATGGAAGAGATCGTGTGAAGAGGAGTTGAGAGAGTATGAACTAACATGGATGCAGGTGAAAAGTACAGCAGAAGGAAGACAGAAGTGGCAAGTGGAGACGTGGAGTTGAAGCCCTATGTTCCACTAGGAACCCAAGGGAGCAATAATAATAACAAATAATTAGGAATAAAAATTTTCTTGAGGAACTCGTTAGTTCACACGTGATTGTAGCTTATAGGGAATTGATATGGAGAATAAGTCAGGCACCTAATACTTTAGTATAGTTCTTCTATCCTCTGACCTTTCCTGGTCTCCCCATATCCCGTGTATTTCTTAGAAAATTCTCCGTCTAACTTTCTACAATAAGAAGTTGAGACATTCTGAAATTACTCAACCTCTACTTTTTCAATTTATCAATTCTTGCATCTCACCTATTATTCTCGATTGCTCCCCCTTGGTCTTTCCTGGACTACTCAAGAAATATTGTGTCATATTTTGAAGGGTATTGTATGTTGTTAGTACGGTAAGTTTTGTGACACTTAGTCAGCTCATTACTATCATAGTCGACAGACACCTAAAATCATGTTAGAAATGGTCTATGTCCATATTGTCTGACTCTGACCACCCTCTCCACTCACAAATCTCCTCACGAATCTCATCTAGTAGGACTTGAAGGCATTATAAAAGATTATATGCTCGTACAACCATGTATAAAACTCGACGATACTCGATTTGGCCCGCGTTCTCTGTGAGAAAGATAGTGTTAAACATGAAACTTACGACTTACTGTGTAATTATCATAAGAAAGTGCTCAGTTATTCTCCTATATTTGTAATTCTTTGATGACTCTCACTATCCGCACTATCTTATAATTTTGTGTTAATTTAGTATTAATACTATTATTATTCTTATCATTTTGCATTTGTACATTCTGACCCTACTGTTTGTTCTAATATCAGAAGTGGCTGTTATCAGTTTTGGTTAAGTGCACAGTGTAATGTATTTCTTCCTCTTCTATTGTTGTTTTTCATTAAATTAGACGTAATGTTGTACAAAATTCTGAAAACCCCACACTGTATCATAAGAAATGTTTCGGAATAAAGCAAATTATCACTATTGTTATTATTCTCTTCATTGTATATACTGATTCGTGAAATAAGACGACATTTGACAAAGACGGTACGTTGATTTTGTATTCTTAGTTGTCTTGTAATTGAATATTTGGGGATTTCTCCTGAATAGCGTTATGATACAAACCACAAAGTGATTGATATTGAGCACTTGGAAACCGCTCACATCGAGCAGTAGGTATAAATGGACAGCAGACGATGGAGTTCTGTATACGTTTTTCTGTAATTCAAAGATTTCTCACACGGATAATCATTGGTTTTATCTGAGTCACCAAATCTGCGTTGACACAATCAGCAAACGCCTGAATCAAATGTAGTGAGAATAATGGCCAAATTTTGTATTTTCTAGGAATCTGCATTCTGCGATGGATAACTCTCTTCTGATGAATTTGTGTGTAGAGAACTACATTTTCAGAAAATTATTTAAATGTTGAATGTTTTTGAAACTTTGGACTTCATTCATATAACCTTGTTGGATTGTTATTAGCACACTGGAAGTGAATTTGACCGAATTAATCTGAATTTACGACAACAGATTATAGGCTAAATGATGGAAATATAGAGGTAGGAAGCGCATTGATAGTTTGTGTGATTCGTGTGTACACTGCACTACGAACATGATTTGTTGTTACGGCTATGTGGAATCGATTTCTATTGGTCGACTGAAGACATTGTAATTGGTGGCGATTAAGTGATGAAATGTAAAGCTGTACTGTAGTAGCATTCGAAAGAATGACCTCCAGATTACTCATCACATGCATTTCTACCAGTTGAAGTTTGACACTCGTCTGGTAATCAGGTCACACTGAACTACAAAGATGGACGAAAAGTAGCCATTGGGAAAAATCAAAAGTTAACCTGTGGGAGAAATCTTTCGACTTGGTTTTTATTTGTCTGTATAAGCCATTTATGCAAAAGACTGCAATTCATTTATGGTAACTTTTGCGTATCAGAATGCACTAATTGCATCCCATAGACACCGGAATATTTTACTAACCCTAATTATGCACTAATAATGCAGAGCATATAAGCCTTCCCAAATCTTTCTTCTCTCCGTCAATAATCTTTGGAATTAATTTAAACACAACGGTCAAGGCCATCTGTAATAGTTGATTGCCAGGTGATTGAATTCATTTGTAGATAGAACAAGAATTTCTGACCTAAATTGTGCCTATAATATGTTTTAAGGCCTCAGTATACAACAGTGTTGAGGTGTGTTTAAAGTACATCTCAGAACACTAGTATAAAAGGATGGTATTCTGGGTTTATAGAATTCCTTTCCTCTCGTTTCCTGTGAAATCCTCATACTACTCTTCTACTTCTAAAATGTCTGCATTCAATGGGACATGGAAGTTTGTTGAAAGTTCTAATTTACGGGAATTGTTTGACGAAATAGGTAACTACATCTTATTATTACTTCATTTATCATTGAAACCAAGGGGCATTTAAAGAATTAGCTGATGCTGCTGACCAGTTTAAACCAATTGTCATTCTAACTGTGAATGATACTGAACTACATATGAAGATTACTATGTTCGATCGTGAAGTTGAACGAGTTTATGAACTGGGCAAAGAAGTTGATGAAGTATCACTGGACGGACGAAATGTTCGAGTGAGTAGCAGAAACAGTTTTGAGGCTTTTGGATTGATTAACTCATTGTTATTTAATCGCACATATGAATTTTTCACTGTGATCTACTCTTGATTTCATCGAACTTATAAGTTGCATTTCGTGACTGGATATTTAGACAGGAATTGACAATAACCGGTCGAATTATTTCCGAAAAATCATGATTATATTCTTCCAGTAACTTATTGCCCGAAAATGGCTCAACGACCGAATTCAATTAAATTAGATTTAAATTCCCGCCGACTACATGGACTACACTCTATGTGGTAGTAGTTTTGATTGAGCTACGTGTGGAGAAGTGAGTTGTTCATTTCTGACATAAATATATGGATAAACCCGGATACTTCTGGAGAGCAGACGGACAGACGTTGGCAGGTTTGATCCTCACACAATTCGTAAAATGGCCGGAACTGGAGAAGGCAGACTGAGAGAGCTAGGTAATAACTGTGTTGCAACTAAATGTGTACAGTAAGTTTAAGGGAACTCAGAAAATTATGATATATTTCGTTCTCATCCAATCTACCACTCGAGAATTTACTAGTATTGAAGTGATTTACGTCACAGGTGAGTAACAGTCAAGCCTTTTCATTATATTCACTGCTTATATTACAACCCTGACGAATGGTAGTGATCACACTACGTGTTAGATGGTGTTGAATAGCTGAATGACGGGTGACTGAAAAAATCATAAGGGGAGGGTGGAGAATTGTGAATATTATCGTCAAGACAACTCGCATAGACCAAAGTCGTTCGAGGGATATTGAACGGAAGCTAGTAAACAGAATGACTAACACCGCAGACCTGTTTCTGCTGAAGTTAGCGAATTAATGGTGAGTTTGATTGTGTGTGAAAGAAATATAGTTGGCACTGTTGAAATTCCAATGACGTTTTAAAAACGCCACACCAGTTTACTCCTCGAAATTACCCCTGTCAAACACATTATGATTCTGATGCATTTGCATGCTCGTACAAGTGCATACCTGTATTTTATTACTGTTCTCCTTTGTAACAAGTGGATTTGTTAGACGTTGTCGTTGAATTCATTAATAAAGACCTTCGGGTTTTGTGATTACAGCTTTCTCCGCTTAACCATTATGGTGCTAATTTGAATTTTGATACTGCAAGAAATCTACATCTACAGTATGTTATACTTATCCTTGTATGTTTCCGTTTCTTAATCACATTCCTCCCATTCAACAGACTCTTCTGACGGCCGAATCAGAGAAACTCACATACAAGCAAATCGATGGTGGTAATCTAGAAGTCTGTTCTACATGTGAAGTCCATGGAGATATAATGAACACAGTAAGTCTCTTCAGTTTCTTTTCTTCTGTTTTAAGGAGTGAATTAAATTAGCGAAGATTAATCTGTCGAGAATGCTTTATATATACCAAATACTTGCATGTCTTCTTCACGCCTCAGATAATTGATTGAGATGTGAGAGTTGCTCAACACAAAGTTCAAACAAGCAATATATATATATATATATTTGAGGCGTTGTTCATGAGATTCGTTAATGGAATATTATCCATATGAGCCAAACGTATGAGTTATTCAGTGTAGCGTGTATTATTCACTATCTCTACTGATAGTACCTACTGAGACATTAATTCATGTCCGACGACCGATCACTGAGTGGGAATAATGTAAGTGATGCATGAATGACGTAAACGAATGTGTCACACTGACTACTGCTCACAGTGAAGAAATTTACATTTTTAGTCGAATATAAGTGTTGCCTGACATTTTGAGTCCACTCTCCTATATGCTCTTCTTAAAGTCTTCCACCAATCAACATACAGAGGTTTCAATTTTATAATATGCGGAGAATATAACACACATCTGGGATTTCACTTCTCAGTGAAATGAATAGAGGTAGAAGGTGTATGATATAAGTGTGAATCTCGGTCACTGTGTTAGCAAGTAATTCCATATTAGTTTGTCTATCAGATATATCACACAGTGAAACAGTATGATTTACTGGATGACAAAGTTTCAAACACAATTTATTGCTATTCATAATTGTATCAGTTATGATCACACGACTTCAAACCTTGACTTTGCTGATTTTCTTTGTTCTCTCCTATTTATCGTCGCTGGGGTAGTAGAGTTTTCCAAATGTCAGGTTGGAAAGGTTTTGAATCATTTGTATTACACGTGTTTGCAGTTGATTCGATAAACAAGGCTTCCGTTATCAATCTCTATCTCCACCCTGTTACATTAGATTTTGAAACTGTCATCCGGAAGATAATACTTTTTCACTGTGTGATATATCTAATAAACAAACTAATAGGGGGTGTATAATTCACAGATATACGAGGGCTGCTACTTCCTTCTCACGTCAGATTTCTCAACTCTATTATCATTGAAAATATTTTGGTATAGATACCTGAAGTGTGAAAGACAAAATACTTGAGCTCTATGTTTGACCGACACTGGTGTTATCTGATGACGGCCATGTTATTTCGGTGAATCGACTCTTCTCGCTAACTGTAAACGATCAGTTTTGAGGACATCGTCTCAGTTTCATCGTATGTGCCAATGGTAGATGTGTGTTGTGCATGCTTAGTGTTGAGCATTTCTTTGTTATTTCGACATAGGTAGTTGATATGATATTCTCTCGTTATCCCTCTTTCCTTGTTTGCCTCATCGGTATTTGGTTGCAGTGAGAGAAAGTCTTCAAATGGATCAGCTTGCGACAAACCGTCCATTTACCTGAATGATGACTTTTTGATCTCCAGTTTTGATAATTTCTATCGTGATTGGTCTTTCGACTGTTTTCTCTTGTACTTACAGATATGTAGTGTTGGAAATGTAACTGCGAATCTCAAGTTCGAACGTGTTTGCTGCGGAGTATGAATGAAATGAAGATACATTGTTCAGACGGCATTTCCAGTCAACGTACATGTCATCCTCCAGGCTTCTTCATGTTGTTTGTCACCTGTAACTTGCAATTCCTAGTTTCAGTAATACTGATAGAAATATTTTGCGTTAAATATAAATTTAACATTTTGTTTGAGTTTCTTCTGACAGAAGTCATTGTGTAGACAGATTTGACTGTGAGAGATATTTCACTGTCTTTTTTTTACGTCAGTACAACTTTGTATTTCACTGACATCCTGGTGGCCATCTGTAGACATTGGTCGACTACGAGATCCGGGAGGAAACTGCGAGAGATTCCAGTATCTTTTGAAAGCGGTCAGTTAGGTCAAAGAAATGTTCTTATCTTCATCAATGGAATCAGCTCATTCACATATTTCTGCTCTGACTGCACTTCCAAGTGACAACGTAACACTGCAGTACACCAATATATAGCATGTAACTTCACTGGTAATAAGAATCTGCTACGTAGGACAAACAGGTCTAAATCATTTGACGCTTTATACAAGATGTCTTTTGACGTCTTCCGCAAATCTTTAAATAGTTTGTAATATCATTACGCTGTCATAATCCAGATACTTTCTGAAAATCACTTCTATGTAGTTAAGTGTTTTGCTAGTAATATTTATTAGTCATAAACATGCATGGTGATGTACTTCATTGAAATGTCTATACTCACAGTAATGATTTATATCTTCATAATTTGTACACTGCACTCGTCGCTTTTTATTTGGTCGCAGATTGCGTGCACTTAGGGTTAAAATAGGAGCTTGACTGTTGTATCACTGTAGGTATTTAAGAAGGAAGATGAGTTATACACTTTGAGGAAAATTCTAATGGAAAATGGATTTCCACCATGTTTATAGATAAGAATATACATTCAAAGCCTACAAAACGTGACTTATCAACCGTTCCCAAGAAAATACTTTTCATGAGCTTAGAATTCAAAGGGGACTTAGCTTCCGATATCATGAAACGAAGGATATCACAGTCCCTGAAAAGAACATTCCCTGCTGCATCTCTGAGAATAGCTTTTACTAGCCGACCATTATTGTTCAATAACCTGAAGGATAAGATCCCGCTGTTGACCAACTCTATGTGCGTTTATCAATTCACCTGCTCGTGTGGAGCTAGGTAAATCGGTCGTTCGACTCGAGTTTTGTCCAACAGGGTGCAAGAACACTAACCTGCATGGTTACGAAAAGGTGGAAGTGGAACAATAAGAAGCGCGATCATTGAACATCTGGTCGATAATGATCACCCTATCTCTATAGTCTTCACCTTTAAAGTCATCTATAAGGCAAAGAGTAATTTGCCCAAATCCCAATGTACCCGACTTATCTGTATTGCTGAAGCCATCTTTGGCTATCGAAACAGAAAAGCCAGATCTCTGTGTACAGAAAAAGTTCGTTCAACCCTCCAACTTTCATGGTCTTAATCCCTGTACGCTAAAGTATGGTAATCCCCAATCATATTTTAGCTCTACCAATTTTTCATTTTTTCATTTTGTCTATTCAGTTTGTATACTCTTCCATATTAGGTCAATTGTTATGATTACTATTGTCACTTTGAATTGTCCCCGGTATTATTTCACTTGTTCCACTTGTCACTCTAAATCAATTCTTTTTTACAACGATAAATTCTATGCTATTAAATTTCACACAATATTACGTAACGTTTTTGTTTCATTCGATTTGTCTACTAATCCTCTAATTGCACACCCCTTTTCAAGTTCTATCCATCCTATGAATTATTCTATATGTGACATTAATTTGCTTTGCCACTTGACATTTTGACTACGATTATAATGACAAACATTTTAGTTTTTTAATTGAACTTCATATTGTTATTATTATTTTATGCATTCACACCTAAGATTCAATTCCCTCACCGGATATAACTTTTAAAAAAGAACCATATATATACGACTGCACAGCTTGATGATAAATTCGTTGAAGAGAGTCTCTTCGCTGAATCACTTGTTTTGATTTTCTGTATTTAAGAAGAACACAGCCTAGATTTGGCAGCTATCATATTCACTCGCCAGCATATGAACTGTACTGCTGATTCTTGAAGGAGGGATGTTAAAGGCTTATAAGTGGGAATATTACGTCCTTCATTTCCTTACTTAAGGAGACTTTTGGATAGGGGTTTCTACAGTGAACTGTCTCAGCATTAAGCCTCTATCCTTTTTGGCTTATAGTTCATAGTTTCAGAACTTACTCCCAGTCACATAAACAGTTTTTTTGTATTTGTTGTTTTGTACGCTTAAACTGGGATATATATTTTCAACTATTCAGAAATCTAATATTCTGGTTTCCTTGATAAATTTACAATGTATTTGTGCATTTCTTTGTAAATCAAATACCACCTGTCTAGGTAAACGAAATATCAGCCTCCTCAAAAATTTATTCATCCTTCGAATCAGAGTGATAAAGGTACTCACTCATCATTGAGAAAATAAAATGTATGTTTGTTAGAATTGCTTCTTGTTACTTGAAGTTACACTAAATACTTTGTGATCAATAATAGATCTGAATATAAGTGACTTATTTCCTACATCCAATATACATTTGAATTTGTGTGTCATACCAGCTGTCATTATTAACTGATTTTAATGTTGGCGGGAGTAGAAAATAATTGGTAAGAAGGAAGTTTGAAATTATACCACAGTCTCCTACCTCATGATGATTATCCCAGTACCTGGAGTTTTTATTTGAAATTCCTCAAACGGCAGATTACCTAACTCCTATTTGGCAAGACTGAAACTGGATTATCTGAGGATGAATGACAGTAAAGAATAGGTTGACTGTTTCTACATAAAAGGTTTGCATACTGATATATCAATGGATGTGGTCCTGGAAACTGCCGTAGGTCAGCTTATTCCCAATCATACGTTCATTGATAAAAGTGGTTTACTGGTTGAACAGCCAGTACTACAAGTATATTTGTTTTTGACGTCAACCGTCTTTAAATTCATATCAACACATATATAAGCAAAACGAAGGAGTATGTACATGTTGCTGATGAAAATCTTCAAAAATAGGCTTGTTAGGTATTCTGGTAATCTAGTGATGGTTTTTCGACATTAGTTTTCTAAATACACCATGGAGCTGTAATGCTCATCTGAAGCTAGTGCAGTATTCTTTTTGTTTCTTTCTTGGTCTTCTGAGCAGAATATAGGACTTCAAGGTTTGAGCTTTGAAGTTTCAGTGGCGTAAGTGTTTTCTCTAGAGAATGGGATTGCTAGTCTCAAGCGTAACCTCCTCTATTCTCTCGGCTTGCTACAGGGTAGGGGGTTTAGTTCTGCGTCAGCAGGGAATCAAACCGAAATCTGACATGTGACTGGTGAACATTCTAATATTGAATCACTGGCCCACACTAATGTCGTAGAACATGTTCTCATTTGTTACTAACATTTGGGTAGCTAAGGTAATTTATTTAATCCCGTTTTTTTACCTTTACTACTGGCTAAGCATACTTTGTTTTATTTGTAAAGGAAATGAGAAAGAATTCCGAAAATTACACAAGGAATGTTTTAACAGTGAGAGACAGTTGGCAGACAATTCTCCATGTGAATATAAAGCCTACTTGAGGTAAACTATAGACTGTATAGACAGTAATAGCAATCAGAACTTTCCCCGTTCCAAGTAAACTACCCGAAGAACATGGTGTTTGTCCATTCCTAGTGTTCTACAGTGAGCAGAACAATGAACATATAACATACGAATTTAAAAAAACAAACGATCATTGTATTACTCACGAAATCAACAATCCTACTGGTAAACACTGTCGAGTTATTATTATTATTGACTGAAACATCTATCCACAAAAGGCTTTTCGTCAATTATATTCTCAAATGAATAACTCGTGATGGTTGTTTTACACTTCATCGCAGTTTTGTTTGAATGAAATGCAATGAAGCTACTGAATTACATTAAAACACTTTTGACGGATGACGTTACAAGTTTCTAGTTTACTGATGACTTCGTTCATTGTCAGCCATGAACATTAACACTACTGAGATTATTCTTCAGAGTTCCACATGAGACCAAAGTAAGGGGCATTCGTGTTTGCCTATTATGTTTTACCTTTTTTGGATTTCACGTATTCAATTATTTTCTTAAGTTATAATAATAGCATCTTTATTCTGAAGAGTAATTATTAAATGTACGGAATTTTCAGAGAAGTTTCTCGCATGGTATCTTCAAGTAAAATACTAACTAATAGTATATCCTGTGACAAAATAGTGTCTCAGCTAAAGCACAAACCGTTCCATTATGATATATCTGCTTTGTCTTCTTTTAGAAATTCATGATCTACTTTGAGATCCAAGGACTTAATTGAACAACAGTTATCTCATGTATTGGAACACGTTGCCACCCACAATCAGGCCTTTCCTCAAGTTTACTAGGAACTTGCGAACCAAGAGCTTGTAAACATTTTAAATACACACACGAGTTGATAAGACCATTAGAGGTCATACATGAATCGATTAAAATGAACCAAACAAGAGAAAACATATGCATTAGAGAGAGAGAGAGAAGTTTTTGGTAGCCCAAGTTTTAAGCAGGCCGTTACACGGTTGGAAGAGGAAAATTACTAAATCACAGTATTATGTCATCGCCAAATTAAATGTTGACATGTCGCATATAACTAAATCCCGCATAAAACCGGATTAGTGTGAGATACAGTTTAAAACAGTGTTGTATGTCGCTTCATAAATGTTCACATAGAAAAATTAAATTCTTATTCATATTACTCCCTTGGGTTTTGAATAGAACATACGGAATTCAGAATCGCAATCACTCATCATTCAGTTCACTGATAAGTTCGACAATTTCAGCAATATCCAGTGCCGGTTTCAAATCTTTCAGGGAATATAAATTCCAACAAATTATAAAAAGAAACTATCTTGTTAAAATCTACCAATTATTTTCAGGCACTGAAATCACTGTCAATCACTTTTTCTCATTCAT